CAAAACGAGGCTGGAAATCTGCTCCCCCTTGCTTGGGCATTGCTAGTTTTAAGTTAAGGCCAAGTTCCTATTATTATATTGACCTTCCGTTAAAATGCATGTATCTTCATTTCGCATACATGTAAAAATCTCCCTCATATCAATTTTACCTACATGTATACCTAGAAACAGAGCTATGTCATACAAGTTGTAAAAAGTTCCAGTAATATTCCTTCCATAAGTGTCAGTGTTTTCCCTGAAATCTTGAAACAATAACAAATAACCAGACGAAAGTTCTCATTAACTTCAGAGAGGATGCAAACACAAAGATGATAATGAATTAATGTCTATTTGTATTTTTATTTATTTATTTACTTATTCATTTTAATTTATGTTTTCTTTGTTTCTATATTTTTATTTTCATTTCCTGTTTTTATTTGATTATTTCTTTTGATAATAAATTGTTCGTTTTATATTAAAAGGAACAAATTATATAAATTTATATAAATTTGAATTTGATGAATTTTCTCATTTGAGTTATTGTTCGTTTTATATGATGACAAAGATACAAAAATATCAAAAGTAATAATATTGCATTATTTTATTATTCTAGTGCTTCATCAATTGACAAAGACAAACTTGATTTATTGAAAATTCAGTATTTTTTTAAATGGTTCAAAGAATGTTTAAAAATATTTCTTCATTAAAAAAAATCATTTAACTTATGTTATATTTATTTACTTTCTCAATTATTTTATAACAATTTAGTTACAATTTCAATGAAATGTAAGAATACTATATAGGTAAACATATGTATATATTTTAAAAAATAAATAAATTGCATAAATATATATTTTTCAATAAGATTGCTTCTAAACTTTTAAAAATTAGATATTTTAATTTTATAGCAATAATTCATTAAAATTAGAAGGGTATGGTAATCAGAACAATAAAAAAGGGTTAAAATACCATATGTAACGATAAATAATGCCAAAAACTTCATTATTCTCAATTGATGATTAATTGCAAATTATCTAACGCCTATTAGTCAAAATGATTTGCATTATTCCATTGTTTTGAAACTTATGAATAATAAGTAATAATAAAGATGAGATAAGGAACGAGTGAAAAACTACCAATCGGTTCATTATTTTAAGTAAAAACATGTTAATAAATATAATGGAAATTATCTTAATAGTAACTTAATTTCAATTTACACGTTTTTGTAACTCACTGTATAATTATTAATTTTCCTGCATTCTTTTAAAACATTCATTATTTCTGAAAATCGAACATATGATCATGAATTCTCATTGTTTTATTCTCAAAGGCTAGTTTTCATCTCTATATAAATAAATTGCACTGGAAAAAAATCAATTATCAAATGTACATATTTTTACAATTTGAGACGTCATCTTTAAAATAAGAACTAATCATATTTGTAATACATTACATGGTTATTATATGTTTTTCATGTGACATTTATGTTAACAGAAACAAAATCTCCAGAAAATACGCTAGAAAAACAATCTGCGAGCGTTTCAATATCATGAATCTTTATGAAATGGATACTGATATAGTTATATTAAAAAATATGTATAAATATTTTTCACTATTTGAAGCATTGTTAATAAAGAAATTCCTTTTGTAATACGTTTAGTTAATTTATATTACAGATTGTATTTTTTTCTTTGAAAAATATTGGTTGACTTTTGAAATGTTAATGCAGATTTTTTTCAAATATATCTCATTTGATAAATCGGAATGCTTTAACTAGTATCTTTTGACAAATAAAATTGATTTTCAATGCTCCTGAAAAAAGATAAATTTATGCAAAAACATTAATTCTTTTTTTTCTATTCAGGAAAAAAACACACAATAATTGTTATTAACCAATTAGCTGGACTAAACAAAAAGCAAATCCAAACAATGCAAAACGGAATTATGATTCATAAAATTAAACTAATATGAGAACGAAATAAAAATATAAATATAATATATAAAGTGAAAACAAAATATGTGCGCGTAACATTTTGTAAGTATACTTAACATGTTATCAATATTAATTTCTAACAATAAATTACAGGATAAGTACGTGTTTATTATCTGACACCTATGACTTTTCACCCTTTTATAGCAATTGTTAATTAATATTGTGTGTGAGATACTAAAGGAATAGATACAAACAAAATTGTTATACTGTACCATACTCAGCAGGTTAAACGAATGATAAAAATTATAAAATATTTACAATTAAGGAAAGAATCTATATAAGCATTAGATTTTAATGTTAAAAATTGAATTTGCAAATCACTAGGACAATGTGTATGATGTATAGATGGAAAGTTTCATATTCTGAAAAAAAATTGAGAGAGAGAGACAACATCCAAAGACAATGTATGAGATAAGTTGATAACGAACAGTAATCAAGCCCAAAGTCGAATGAAAATAGGAATCGGAAAAAAACAAACGTGGAACTCTCAAATCATCAGGAGGGATAAAATGCCACGGAGAAGCAAGCATTCCTTGTCATCTGGTAACGTCCACTCTTCTTTTCTTGCTCGGGAAAAAGAGAAAAACTGTAGTAAATCATTATGTAAATAATGGTCTCATAATAAATACGAAAGCAAGTTAGTCAGCATTTGATTTAAAGAGAGATGGAATTTGTTGAAAAGTTTATGTTATCAACCATGTGTCATAATGGGCTGCAAAATATTGAAGTTAAACGAGACTGTTGGTATTGTTGTTTCTTTGACCTGTCTGTCAATAGATTGCTTAATTTTAAATTGTTCTTACGTAGGGCATAATCTTGATTACGCGAGCCACAAACCAAATATATATTGACAGGGTATAATTCAAAATCAGTAAAAGAAATTAATGATAGAAAAGTTTAAATTCATTACCTTAATTATAGAGTTTGTTGTTAGGTTAGCTTTAACCCCATTTTATTATGTCCAAATACGAAACAGATTTGTCAACTTCTGTGGTATCTTTTATTTCGAGTACACTGGAATATATGGAATCGACTTTTGAATGGATGCAATTCCTGAATTAATATTAAATTCCACTTTGAAGGCAATAACTAATGTTTTCTTCCCATATATAAGTTTTAAAATAAATTCATATAAAACGAAGATTTGTCTGCTATCAACGGGAAGTAATTGCTGTCCATTGTAATTCCTATACATGTAGATCGTTGAAAGGTCTGATCGACGGTCTGAGACACTGTCAATCGGAAACTCAATCATACTTTCGATATCAACATAAGACTACTACATGTACTAACTAATGAAGTCTTTGTAATTAAACTCTTTTAAAATTAAGATCTTCAAACTTGGAACTTGAAATAAAGAGAATGAAATGAATGAATTCCATGTTTTATCTAAATTAAACCATGGAAGTCAGTAGGACAATTGTCTTTCATTCAAATAACGTCAAAGCCCTTTTTAGAACCCTTTAGCATTTGGACTTCAAAATTGAATTGAAAATAGAAGTTCAAAAATAAAAATTACTCATGCAAGTTTGTATACTGACATACATGTATCTCTTATTATTTTTCTAAAAGTAATTACTTGAAAAATCCTTCTCATTATGTTCTTCAAATTTGGAACTTAAAAAGATACATTCAAGAATAGATGCATTGCACGTTTTTGTTTTTAGGCGTAACAAATTTTTATTTAAAAAATGGTTCCATATTATAATTAAAGAATCATTTGACATCTGTTGAAAAACAGAAAGAAATTAAGATAAATCACATATCTTTATGGTTTTTTTTTACCCTGACCGGCCCTTTTCATTATTCAAGGTAAAAACTTTTCTGGCATAACATGACAAGTTTAAGGCTAAAAAAAAATTCAAAATGAAACATAGATAAACTTGAACATTATGAAAAAAAATAAAACAATCAGTCTGAAAACATTCCACAGACCCCTTGAAATAGATAGGGTCAGGTGGGATGCATTGCACCTTTTTTCATTAGCTTGTTTTTACTAGGTAAAGGAGAAGTTAGCACCCTTTATTAAAACTTAAAACTGACAATATTGATCTCAGAGGATAATGTATAGCTTGGACAAAAGTAATTTTTTCTAGATTTCTCCATTGTTTATCACTTATTACCTTTTATAACAAAATAACAGCATAAACTTCTGTACTAATAATCTTATATTTACGTTGTAATTGGTATTTTTTGCAGTAAATTTTTGAAAATATTATATTTATATATAATATATATTATTATATATTATAATGAGTTTATTTATACAGAGTATTTCTTTCTTGTTTTCAAAATCATCTCAGACAAAATAATGCATTATCGTACACGAAAAAGATTTTTTCAGATCAAAAGCCAACATAAATCAATTGCTAATCTGTAATCACATGGTTCTACGTAATATCTTCTCCTACTTCATACTTATGGCACTACCTCAATCTTGGCACTGTCAGTGTGAGGTGAGATACATTTTGACATTATTTTCCACACATTCCTCCCCTTTTCTCTCTCACCACGAGTGCAGCTGATACTCATAGATATCTACATCTGCATACTTTATAAGGCCTGCTCACGTAACTAAGTCGTTCCCAATCCCAATCACCGTCATGTGGTGCTTCATTCAACGTCGACCCGAATTACCTCCCTCATAGAGAGAAACATCGTGGCGGGTCCAGGTATAAAGAACTCAAAATTTATGCCCTCATTTTAAAAAGTGCCTAAACCAATATGCATGGCTAATATTTTTCATAATCTGTAGCCTTCAAAAGGCTCTGGTGTGTTTTATGATTGATCAAGTATGTATTTATGTCTTTAATTTGCTATTTTACTTCTAACAATAAAAAGTTTATAGGATTATTCATTTTGTACGAGGGAAGCATTTGTGTTGACTTTTATTATATTATTAGCAACCATAACCCTGCTCTAAGTTCCTCACTTTTCTGTTAGGGAGCATTAATTATCTTTTTCGTCCCATTTTGTTTTACTGCAATATTTTGACAGAATATGATCCAGCAGATGCATTAGCATTGAATCAATACCCCTCAGTCAATGAAGCGATACAATGATGCACCAAGTGTTTGTTTGTTTGTCTGTTTTAATAAGAACATAATTCAATTTATTTCTTTAAATTCTTGCGGGATGTTAAAATATTCAATACTCAAAGGCATCGAGAATACCAATTACAATCTTTAAGGTATTTAGCAACGTAAGTATTATTTTATTATTATAAAACATATGAATTTTAATGAAAGAAAATAATGATTGGTAGGAGGAAAACTGTAGGCATGTATATCAATAGAAAAAGTTTCAAGGTTCCATCTTGTTTATGGAAGCATTTATAATTTTGCATGATCTTATAAACTTCATCAGCTCTAAAAATATGGAATCATCTGTTTATAATAAAAGTCCCGATTCCCCGTCTAGGAAAAAGGACTCACTGACAATACAAACTAAAAGTTAAAAAAAACAACACAAAACTGCAAAATATCTAATTCCTCAAAAAGATTCTCAATAATTAATGCATGCTAAAGTTAAATTTTTCCTTTAAACGCTGCTGTGTTTAAAAAAACCGCATTCTGCTGCTAAATTGCGAAGACCTTTGCAATATTGTCACAGTAATAAGTGTAATGGTTTTTCTTACAACTAGAAAATTATATTAAGATATCGTTATTTCGTGTCTTTTGTTCAAATTAAGAATGCAAGGTGAGAGTTTCCTTCTTTTATGTCAACCTGATAAAAGATTAAATAATAGAACAATTGGCTTCCATGAAAAACTTGTTTATAATATCAAAGTAATTAAGCATTAGAAACAAACTTTATGAAACTTTATATATGATGAAAATGGTCCAAACAAGACGAATGTTAACACTTTTTTGTCTTTAAACACATAAATCCATTTTTGTGGATAAAAGGCATTTCATCCTGAAGAAAAGAAAGTACTAGGGTATTTTAAATAAATGATGAGGTTTAGCTGGATTATTTTGATATTAGTGATCACATCCAGTGTGTATTTACAACATTGAACAGAGTTAGTTTCCCTTGACAAATCACCTTCTAACGATTTGTTTAAAACATAGGAACAACATTTTTAAAAAAAATCATTTCACTCAAAAAGGAGCACACGGCAGGTGTGACCAGTCAGCAGGGGATACTTCCATGTCACCTGATCCCACCTCTAATGTTTTTGATGTCCGCGTGCGTGCTCTGCTCCTACAGTATAATTTTTAATGAACTTTTTAGCTAGCTAGAATACCGTTTGTTATCATAACATATTTCATATATACCATTTGATATCAATTTCATTAGACAAAAAAGGATTTCTTGCCAAAAGATAATTAAATGAAATAAATTTAATTGTGACATTTTTTTCCTAACATTGATGAACAAAAAAGTTTTTTAAAGCAAAATGAGCTGCAACATTGATGTCAAAATTTTCCGTTGCAAAATTGGCATTAACAATTCCATGGACAGAGGAAAAGAACATTTATAAACTTATGTAGTTTAAATTTGATAGAAGAACTATTTACAAGTTCTTAATGATGTAAAATTACATTATTGGCGTCCAGTACAATATTATTTTCTAAATTAGAACTAAATATTTAATTGTACAGAGGTCTTTCTTTTGAAACAATTAAATACTTAATTTTGGTCTTATAGATCATAAAGGTTTAAATTACTCACATATTTAACATAATGACACATTTTAATAGCTAAATATAAAATTCTCAAAATGCGGCTCATATTGCTTTAAAAATTAATTATTACTATGAAAATAATCAGTATGACATTTCTTTATTAGCAGGAAACATTTGAACTTTTTGTAAATTTTAGATGCTAATTTCATTTCATTTTTTCATTAATCTTAGACATATATATCTTACAAATTAAAAAAAAACATAATAAACATAATTTATCAAATTATTTTTTAAAATGTATTTTAAATGATTTTGATTCATCTACTGCTATATAAAATTTGGTGCTTTTCGAATAATAAACATTCTCTTTCAAGCTCAGAAGGGAAAGTACTCGTGTTTATGAGATTCATAAATAATCTACTCTCTTTCAATTAACAAAAAAATTATACACTCGTTTATTTTAAAACATACTTGTATTAAAGGAAATTTATTTCCATAAGAATTTCGGATCTATATAAACACGAAATTATAAACAATACAATACATGAAACCACAGAAACATGAAGCTACTAGTTTTTTGTATTTATTTATTTGTTTATTTTTATTTCTTCATTTACTTTATTTTTTATTTATATATTATATATTTTTTGCAATTTCGCAAAAGAAAATTACAAAACTAACTAACAAAGTAAATAAAAGAATAAAGTTATCTAAAGAAATAATTGAAAATTTAATTACCAATGAACTGTACATATTTTGTTGCAATTATACATTTAATGTAAAAACATCTTCAATTAAAATATTTTGGAATTTGATGCAGTGATTTCAAAGATTGTGAATCTACTTTTAATATTATCCTTTTGTAACGAAAAGATTAATTAATTTTTTTATTGTCATTAATTTTTAAATGATTTCCAAAAAAATTCTCTAAAAATATTTGAATCTGGTACAAATATCTAGCGCCATACACTTTTTGTAATTTATTTTCCTCTGGAGAAAATTAATTTAACCTATTATTTTACGCAAGTTAAAATATATATTTCCTAATTTGCTTTTTCCCATAAAAATAATGGACTATGTATAATTGGTTTTATCATATAAAACATTTTACAATAGTTGGATTCTGTTTTATTAGCAGGAAATTATTAAAGACAAATCAGAAATTAATATGTATTTGCCTGCTTCAGTTATGTTCGAGTCTTCAGTAGTTTTATAAGTTTTATTCTTCTTCAATAAAAACAACTCACTAAATCATATTCCTAATTTGTTTAATTCAAAACAATTTAAAATATATGGAATTTATTCATTATAAATAGGAATACCACATTCAAAATGTGGAATTGCAAATTGATATTTGCGATATAAATGCTAATATTTATTAAATAATTGTATTCCACCGTTTTTTTTAAAAGAACACATATGCATGCTAGTTATAAACAATTTACAAGAATAAATGATAAAATCTTAAACGTGGAAACCAGATGAAGAACTTTGCTTCTCTAAAATACTGTGATCGTTTGATGCAATTTCTTAGTATACACGAACTCTCAAATAAAGAATTGAAACAAATTAAAAGAATACATATTCTGATTTAATCTAAAATATCGAAGAAGAAGGCAATAAAATGTTTTTATAATCAAATGACCATTTAACGTAAACAAATAATTTATTGCTGAATATAACTGCTAAAACGGTTCACATGGTTTTACTTCTTTAAAGAACAATCGGAAAATATATTATTTTGTTTATTTGTATTCCTGTCGTTACTTAATGCCAATTTAAATTAATTATTGATTTTATACAAATATATTTTTTGAAAATATAATAAATAATAAGTCTACCGTGAAATATGTTTAAGTACACGCTAAATTCAAGAACTTCTATTATATTGATTGTAACAGAAGAATTCGTACAAAAATGTCGGTTAATGGCCTATTGCTGCTTCGTTCAATTGAATTTTTATTAGATCATCTGTAACCTCTTTTGATGTCTCTCCATAACTACAATAAAAATATGATAAAGTCAAAAAGAATATCTGTCACGTGATAACTTGGTTTTGGTTATTTCCTCCAATAGCATTTTAATTTTTCCTGGTGAATTGTTTTATTCACTACATTAAATCAGGGCGAGAAACCAGGTTTTGAGGAGTTATGTAAGTAATCATTCATTTCTCAACAATTTTAACAAATTGTTAAATTAAATGGTTGCGGATCTGATTTTTTTATAAATATAATTTTAGTGTTTTTAACTCTTACTTACTCATATTAAGGCGTTTATTGTTTCTTTAACTTGACCAAGTATATATTTTCACATGTTTTAAAAACCTATTTGTACACTGTTTAATTGACTGTTTAACAACCATGTAGTTAGTCTCCAAAAACGAATGCTAAAGTAAAATATCAATAGAAAGCACGATTTTTAAATAACACGTGTTGAAAATTTTGAATTTAAAAGCTATTCGTCATGAATAAAATTCATGGGATCAATTTCTTGGAGTTATCTTTCGCTGACAGTGCGACTGCGGGATGTTCGATGGTGTTCATGTTTGCGCTTATGCTAAGGGTAGATTTATGTCTCTTGCCACTGAGCAGATATGAAGCTGTTATTTTACTTTGTGTGGTCTACTTCAGACAAGCGCTCTTTACAATCAAAAAAAGACTTTTTTGATAAGTGTTTGGGTGGGCTTATTCTAATCAGTAGAGGTATAAACCGCATGCGCATTTAAAGAAAATAAAATGAAGTACGTTGTGGAAAAGATACATCAAGAAGCAATAAAAAAGTTTCCAGAACTATAAAATAAAACATTTACATTTCAGATACTCGAAAAATTTTTGCCTTTTTATTTGTACAACTGTCACCATAAAAATGAATATTTTTGTAGATTGATATGCGTCTAAGTTATGATTAATGCTTAAAAAATAAACACAGATAGGATATTTACAAGAAGTTACAATGTTAATTCAAAATAACAGACTATTGATGTATTTTGTGTCTTTTCCGCTTTGTGAAGTAAAACATGTTCATAGAAATTATAAAAAAAAAACTGCTTAAGTTACATGAATATAAATTGTATACATGTAATTGCCGAAAGTAGTTTTGTCAGATATAAAGGAAGACTTTTCCTTCAATAACCAGTGCCTTTTCCTTTCCTATTTACATGTATATGTCGAATGGTTTCACCGCCTTAAGTTCTCAATTTTTAATCGGTGAGCGGATGAATCTGCAGTCAGGAACATTTTACCTGATTTTTTTTTTCAAAAATACGTCAATCAATTGCAGTATTCGACCTTGAGACTTTAATTCATTCTACAGTAGCCTGCTTCTGTTAAAAGAGTTTGTTAATGCAGAACATACGCTTACGTATCGATTCAAATTGAAGATTTATACACGAAGTGCAGGTGTGAACAGTTAGTTGTTTTTAATATACATGTACCTCTGTGATTTCTCTCCATATAAAAATATAAAGATTAAACCTGCTATTCTAAACAGCCCTACCGTGGAATAGTTTTTGTGCTATTTGTCAATGTGGTGAAATAGTAAAAAAAAATATTCACCAGCGGCATTTTGTTTC